CCCAGTGAAGAGTGACAGTAGGGTGAGGTCGTGATGACTGTTACCCGCAAACAGAAGTAGATAATTAGGTCAAACAAATGACTCTTTGAGGGGATCAGAAACTGTCTGGAGTTTTCTAGGTGGTACTCAAGCCATTGTTGAGACCAAAGCCCTGCTGATAAATGGAGGTAGGCTTCTGGTGTCAGACCAGGGAGACACTGATACCTCATTCAATTTAATCCCCCTCCAGCAGCAGTGATTGCCACAGGCCATGTTTAGGTGGAGCTCGCCCTTTCTAATGCTGATCTGGCTAGTTGTAGCCACAGTTTAGTCTTAAGGCTGAAAATTCTTTAGAAGATGTCTCTATCTTGAGGCAGCCTCTTAGCCTGGACCTCGGACAGTGGAGCTGCTGATATTTCTGTGCAAGAGAGCATCCTACTGATTCTTAATCAGATGGGGCTCACAAAGGCAACCTGTTAATTGACTGCCTTCCTCAAAATCTCCCTTCAGATCTTGCCACCAGCTTTTGTGGCATCCTGGCCTACATTTCACGCTTTACCAAGATTCCTTCCACAGCACATTCCAAACCCCCAACCGCTTCCATCTAGAAAGACAAGGTCAGCAGATGCATGGGAGCACCACCGCCTGCAGGTCCCCCTCCAAGCCACTTACTTGGAAATACATCACCATCCCTTCAGTGTTGTTGGGTCACAATCCTGGAACTGCCTATCTGTTGGCACTGAGAGTCTATCCGGAACAAACGGATAGCAACGTTTCAAGAAGGCAGCTCATCGCCAACTCCTCAAGAGCGAATAGGGAAGGCAATAAATGCTGACCCAACCAAAGACACCCACACCCCATGAATGAATGTATGAATGAAAACATGCAATTGCAACCTGGGAATAAAATAACTGCCAACCAAGTTGGTTTTTCCTGCAGAATGATTCTCTGTGGGAATCATATAGTGGTGTTTTTCTTGTATCTCCTTGCATTAACATCATATCTTCCAGTTGATGGTCTGATTGTTTGAGTTACCAGATGGAGAAAAATCAGCATTCAAGTGTTTTATATTTATTCTGCTGTTCACACCAGAACAATAGGTTTACTTGGGTGTTAGTCACAGATTGGATGCTCAAGTGATTACCTCTTAGCCAGAATATTGTGAGCTTACGTTTCACCGTCTGAGGTTTAAGCACAGAAATGAGGCCAACATTTCTGAGACAGTGCCTTGCTGAGACAGGTGCGATTTTTTAAGATTGGAAGTTGACCCAAAGTACTGTTTACTTTCTCAGGTGGATGTAAGTTGTGATTCTCAATGTCACACAGAGCCCTGGCTGACAGCAACCTGTCCAATATTTATCACTTAACCCGGGTCACTAAAACAGCTTATCTCATTGCTCTTTGTGGCACTTTGCTGTGAGCAAGTTGGCTACACTGCAACACAGACTACATTTCAAAAGTACTTCATCAGCTGTAAAGTGCTTTGGATGGCCTACTTGGCTGAAGAAGGTATTTTTATCCAACTTTTCCCTTTATTGTTTAAATGCCTTCCTATTACTGTATTGGGCATCACCCTTACTGACAACTAGCCATCACCTTCTTGTAAGGTAATACTTTCAGGCATTTGTGTTTAACCTGCTTTTTATGGCCTTGACCCTCAATCCCCATGTGCCCTTGCCATAGCTTAAGTGAAAGGAAGTTTTTTTTGGATTACTATTCTGTTCTGTTCTGAACGTTTTCCAGCTCAATAAAATCCTTCCAATAACAGGGCGACCAGAAGTGGATACAATACTCCAGATGAGGCCCTCCCCAACGTCCTACACAACCTGAATGTGGAGGTGCCGGTGTTGGACTGGGGTGGACAAAGTCAGAAGTCACACGACACCAGGTTATAGTCCAACAGGTTTATTTGAAATCGCAAGCTTTCAGAGCACTGCTCCTTCGTCAGGCATCACCTGACAAAGGAGCAGCGCTCTGAAAGCTTGCAATTTCAAATACACCTGTTGGACTATAAACTGGTGTCACGTGACTTCTGACTCTGTACATCCTCAACATGACATCCCAACTGCTATACTCAAAAGGTCTGAGCAATGAAGGCAAGCATGCTAAACGCATTCTTAACCACACTGTCTGGTAAGACTATGGTGATTTTACCTTAATCAGACAAATATAAACACCATATCATGTAAAGACACATCAAGATGTGGGTAAAGGGAAATTGGTGTTGCACAGCAGGCTAGAATTGACAGTAACAGTGTATCCCCTGTGAGTTTATAGGCTACTGATCAGTCAAAATATTCCGCAGGATTCCCATCCAACCTCCAAGGTACTTTCTATCTATAAATACAGCTGTTAGCTCGGCAAAATAAGAAGTGTACTAGCAGTCAGCTGACATTGACATTAAGCATGTAATTTTTTTTTGGATGCTCAAATTCCACAGAGCAGCTTGGGCACTGACACTTTGCAATCTCATTGTAGACACTCAATCGAGGTACAGTTTTATGACCGCCAGCTATCTATAATCATATGTGGAAAACAACCCCCCCATAGCCTACTGACAATTCACCTTTGATGACAACTGCTTTTGTTAAGGCTTTAAATGAAATTATGAATTTAACAGCCTGCCTGAGCAGTATCAGCTTGCTGCAGCATCATTTGGTGCTGTACAGTTTCTGCCTGCCAGCATCTTCCACACTGTGATTCTCTTTTCATCATTCAAGGTTACTAAAGAGGAATTGAGTTGGGTTTTTGCAGTTATTCTGCCAATTGTCCATTGGCAGAGCCTCTATTGTACTGTCTGTTCTGATAGAGCAGTGAACGTGTGAAGTGAAGTAGAAGAACACATCCTCACAATACTCACACGCAGAATACTTAAATCAATTAGCAACCTTGAACTGGTCCACCAAGTAACTAGACAGGCTTTGTGAAACATGCTGAACTAAGATAGCCATCACATGACAGGGTTCTGTTGCACAGCTAGTTGGTTTGATTTCTTAATGTATTATTGAAGAATTTATTTTTTGCTAAGCTGTAAAATGAGGTAATTTTTGAAGTCATTTCCATTGCCAAGGGGTCAGGTTATTTGAAAGCTGTTGTCAGCCGCTATTTCAATTCCTTGGCTGGTCTTTGGAATAATCTAAGAAACATTGAGGAGATTAGAGAGCCCTGCCGTGCCTACTGACTGGGTTTCTGCCTGAGTAAATTGCTGCCACCTTCAATCTCATGTCAAAGACTCTCAGCGGCTTTTTTTCCCCCCGCAATGACATAGCAACAGTCAGCTTAATCGAATGTAATCACCCCTTGGCAAAAGCTGTCAGGTACCAAACACAATTGCGCCTCTGAAGCCGTCACACAGCCAGGGGTGGATTAATTTGATCTTTATCATGGTGGTGGATGGGGAGGTTTTCGCATGAAGGTGCTGAATTGGCAAATGTGACTTCCTGATTCAATTTCTTCCTTCCTTATAGAAAGGTCCATTTTTTAAAAAAAATCCTGGAGAGGGAATTAACCTGTGAACCCTCACCCACCTTATGCGGTTGATATCCTTGCTAAGAAATGACCTCAAAATATGAATAATTATTTTCAGTAAGGCTTTTGACTCTTCCCCCTCATGTGTTTCTGAGAAAATCTGTAAAAGGTTTAGCAACGAAAATCATTGTGTGAAATAGATAATGATTTTATTAAAGCATTTGTATGTAACCCTTCCACTATTATATCCATAAGTAAACAGACCCTTGAAAGTAGAAGGCAAGTGAATTCCAGATGAACACACATCTGGTTCTGAATTACTCGTTTTCTTTGCAAAATGCAAAACATTAAAGTCTTTTTTAAAATAAATGAAGCCAAGCATAACAACACAGAACAGCATAAAGATAGGATACATAATTGGTTTCATAATCCTTTCTTAAAATGATTGAATTTTCAGCTGCAGCTTTATATTTATGGAAAAATTCCACATATTTACTGCATGGGTGAACCAATTGAATAAAGTTTAAGTGATGGAGTCACAAGTATATTTGATGTAGGTCAAATATCATGTTGAATAAAAGTCATGTTCACTATGACCCTAAAATGACTTTCTGTTTATAAAATACCTGCTTTCCCTTAAAAAAAAAGATATGATACATTTTGAACTATTGCCAGTTAAATTTGTGACACTGAGGACCTACCAGAGCAAAAGATCAACTGTGACATTCTGGTGAATTGGCGACCTAGCATTCAGTGTGCGTGGGAGCACTGTTGTCCTGGCAACATAATGATGAAGTGCTGTGCATGTTGCATTGAGAAGGAACAGCTCTCAGGGACCCTTACAGCACCTGTCAAGTCATTCAACTTAAGCGTCTGGTTGCATTATTTACTCCGTGTGGAATTAAGGAGCAGCCCAAAATACCATATCCCATCTGAGTCAAGGAACCAGAAGCCTTGACATTGATTCCAGTGTGGCCCTGGGTTTGGGGCGAGGGAGGAACTGACAAGGAAGCATTCAGCACTTAAAGCTAACACTTCCAATTTGTGAAAGCTTTCAGGAAGGAGTCCTTACCTTCTCTGTCTGTTATGAGCATCCCATTCCTCAGAGAGAAAAAAAAATATTCTTTTTATGTACCTAGTGAGTCTCAAATCTCGCAAATAACTCCAATTAATTTTGATATGTTTTTATACAATTTCTGTCAATGATCTTAAATATTATTGAGTATTTTTTTCAACACAACATCAGTTAATTCAACCACTTAAACAGTTAGTGGCACCAAGTACGTGGGGCAGACACTTACGAGTCTGATTAATGTAGGCGTTGGCTCAAAATGTGGCAGAATCAAAGGACGTGGCCCTAGGCACCAAAGGAGGCAAAACCGATCTCATCCTTGGGAGCATCCCTCTCTATCTTTTATGCTTTTGACAAGTCGTATTGCAAGTTTCTCACATGGCAACAGTGAGCTGCCAATTAAGAAAGATAATTGCTTGTTAAATACCTTGTTAACAGTCCAACTCACCTCATTAACATTCAGCTTCCTATTTTACCAAAGTTATGCAGGCAAGGTCGATGTTGAGAAATCTCAACAAATGGAAATCAGAGAGAGTACTTGGCGACTCCAGCCCATTGCTTGCTCGAAAAGGATCTACATGCTGGTAAGTACCAGACAGCATCATGGACATTAGCATCTGACATGCCAACACCTTACAACCATCAAGACATCTCTCTGATGTGATTGCAAGCTGGTCTGGATGGCTGTTTGCAGGATGCACCTAGCATTGAAAGGCTGCTGCAAACTAGCAGACACCCAGCTCACGATTGGACCACATGGCATCTCAAGGCTGTTTTCTGCCCCTCTTGGTGACTGCAAACTTAGCACCTACCTACAGGCGGTCAGCATCCATTCCTTGCCTTGCTGTGCCAGTTAGTGCAGTCACACAACCAGGCAGCTTACCTTGCTGGTCAGCAGCCCTCAGTCAAGAGGGTGTGTGTCTTGCTGTATGGCAGCGTGCTATGTCAGTCTGACACCTACACTGATTCACCAAATGCAGGCAGCATTGTCTCAAAGTCTTACTGGAGTAGTCCTCACCAAAGCCCATGGAGGCACCCACTGGTCAGCGAGCTCTAGCACAGTAAGTCAAGTGTAGTCTCCCTTAGCAGTGCAGAGGATTGGCCACGGTCAGGCAAACATTCAAGGTGTTTTCTGTCAGAGGTCCATGCTTCTGCAGTCTTGGGAATGGGTCATAGTCAGTCCTGTGGCTCCATACCTGCCAGTCTGGGGTGGGAGGGTGCAGGGGTTGCTTGGGCTAACACAGTTGGGATGATGGACACTTCTCACCCAGGGCTGTCCAGTTAGGTTGCTAAAGAGGGAGGGCCAGTCATTCAATTAGTTCTTTCCACAGAGACTAAGGGGAAAAAGAGGAAGTTAGGAGGTTCAAGCGGGGAGAGGGGGGCGCACTGCAACAGGATGAAGAGGGCGTGCAAACTTTGGAACTCTCTGTGGCGGCTGGAAGCAAGGTCATTGAATAGTTTTAAGTTGGAACCAAATAGACTAATGATAGGCAGGAGAATAAAAGGCTATTGCTGGTAGATGGGAATATGGAACTTGAAACACAAAACAGCTCAGCCATGATTTTAGTGAATGCAGCAAACTGAAATGACCAAATTACCTACTTCGGCTCTTAATTCATATGTTTGTAAAATGGACGATTTCACATCTTCCCACATTACCCCATTTGCCAGATCTTTGCCCACTGACAGTTCATTAAACCTGTTTATGTCCCTTTTTAGCCTCCTTATTTCCTCTTCACAACTTACTTTCCTACCTATCTTTGTTTAATCAGCAAATTTAGCAACCACACTGATTACTTCATTCCAGTCAATTATATACATGTTGTATAAAGTTGAGGCCCCAGCACTGACCCGTGTGGCACACTTGTTACATATTGCCAACCAGAAAATGACCCATTTATACCTACTTTCTGTTTTCTTCTATCCATGATAACATCTTACCCTTACACCATGTGCATGTATTTCCCACAATAATATTTGATAGGATATCTTATCAAATACCTACTGGACATCTAAGTATTGTACAGCTACTGGTTTGCCTTTATCCACAGCATATATTATTTCCTTGAAGATCTCCAATAAATTGCTTCAACATAATTTATCTTTTACCAACCATGTAGAATCTGCCTTATTATCTTGAACTTGTTTAAACACCCTACATAACTTAAATAATGGCTTCTGCCATTTTTCTATGACAGGTGTTAAGATGACTGGCCTTTAGTTTCTTGCTTTCTCTCTCCATTCCCTTTTGAATGAAGGAGTTACATTCATAATCTTGCAATCTCATGTTACTGTCTCCGAACCTAGGGAATTCTAGGAAACTAAAAACTTGGCAACACACAGCTCCAAAAATGTGCTCAGTACCACATCCCTAGTGATTCTTGACTCTTGAGTTCTTCCTCCCTTCTACTTCCCGATTTAGAATTATCCTGGTTTCCTGAACTTAGGTCACCCCTCTCTATGATAAAGAGATAACAAGGTGTAGAGCTAGATGAACACAGCAGGCCAAGCAGCATCAGAGGAGCAGGAAGGCTGACGTTTCGGGCCTAGACCCTTCTTCAGAAATGAGGGAGGGGAAGGGGGTTCTGAAATAAATAGGGAGGGAGGGGGAGGCGGATAGAAGATGGACAGAGGAAAAGATAGGTGGAGAGGAGACAGACAGGTCAAAGAGGCGGGGATGGAGCCAGTAAAGGTGAGTGTAGGTGGGGAGGTAGGGAGGAGATAGGTCAGTCCAGGGAGGACGGACAGGTCAAGGGGGCGGGATGAGGTTAATAGGTAGGAGATTGGGGTGGGGCTTGAGGTGGGAGGAGGGGATAGGTGGGAGGAAGGACAGGTTAGGGAGGCGGGGACGAGCTTGGCTGGTTTTGGCATGCGGTAGGGGGAGGGGAGATTTTGAAGCTTGTGAAGGGCTCTGCAGTTCCTACTATCTCACCCCTCTCTATTATACTTATGCAATCTTTTATTAACAGACCTGTATTGGGAATCCAAATAAGACCTCCGCAAGGCCATTGAGAAGCCAAGAGGCAATACCAAACTAAGCTAGAGACCCAGACTACACACACAGACACCCACCGTCTGTGGTAAGGCCTATGTGACATAACGAGCTACAAAATGAAGCAGAACAGAATAGCAGACTAAAGTATTGAAGGACTCAATGCTTTTTACGCTCGGTTCGAACAGAAGGCCAGTGAAACAGGGTCACCTGGCCCAACAGCCTCGAATACACCTGTACCACTGCAGATGTCAGATCGACCTTCTTGAGAGTGAGCCCACGGAAAGCGATTGGCCCAGATGGAGTCCCCGGCCAAGCACTTAGATCCTGTGCAAACCAGCTGGTGGAGGTATTCGCTGTTATCTTTAACCTCTCCTAGCTACAATCTGAAGTCCCCACCTGCTTCAGGAAGACCACCATCATTCCAGTACCAAAGAAACCATATGCAAATTGCCTCAATGACTACGGCCCAGTGGCTCTGACCTCCACTACTGTGAAGTGCTTCGAGAGGTTAGTCATGGCTCGTATCAACTCTAGCCTCCCAGCCTGCCTCGATCTCTTGCAATTTGCCTACCAGCACAACAGGTCCACGGCAGATGCCATCTCCCCAGCCCTACACTCATCCCTGGAACATTTGGATAGTAAGGATACTATGTCAGGCTTTTACTTATTGAGTACAGCTCCGATTTCAACCAGACTAATCTCTAAATTCTGAGACCAAGGTCTCTGCCCCACCCTCTGCAACTGGATCCTCAACTTCCTGACCCACAGATCGCAACCAGTGAGAATCAGCACCTCCTCCAGACAGTCCTCAACACTGGTGCCCCGCCCCGCAAGGATACATACTCAGCCCCCTGCTGTACTCCCTCTACACTCATGACTGCGTGGCCAAATTTTATCCCAACTCCAAATCCAAGTTCGCTGATGACAGCACTCTTGTATTCCAGATATCAAATAAATGGCAAAACAGAATACATGAAAGAGATAAAGTGCTTGGTGACGGGGTGTAAAGATAACAATCTCTTCCTCGGTAGCAGCAGAACCAAAGAGCTGATCTAAAGAAATGCTAGAGGAATGGTTCTCAACTCGTAAGGCAAACAGCAAACATATAGAATTGGACCCCATAAAAAACCCATGCAGAACAAAACCAGAAATGACACTACTCACCATAACAGACCAGGCAGTATAAATTCCAAGCAGAATAGAACAACAACGCTTCATAGGAGGCCTCACTGTTGATATTACCTAGCACAGTGATGAAACGTCTGAATAAAAACAAGCCAGCTCAGCGAGCCAGTCAAGAGCCTCAGGAAGCAAGGAGAAGGGCACAGTCAATAGAGCTGAGGTGGAGATGGTTGACAGCATCATGTTCCTAGGCATGATGATCACCAACAATCTTACCTGGACCACCCACGTCGACATGATGGTCAAGAAGGCACAACAATGCCTCTTCTTCCTTAGGAGGCTAAAGGAAATTCGGCATGTGCATAAGGACCCTCACCAACTTTTATAGATGCACCATAGAAAGCATTCTGTCGGAATGCATGGCAGCTTGATATGGCAAACGCTCTACCCAGGACTATAAGAAACTACAGAAAGTTGTGAACACAGCTCAGACCATCACGCGAGCCAACCTCCCAGGCATAGACTGCATCTACACTTTGATGCCTCAGAAAGGCAGCCAACATTATGAAAGACCTCTCCAATCTTGGTTATAATCTCTTTCAATCTCATCTGTCAGGCAAAAGATACAAAAGCTTAAACACATGTACTAACAGTTTCAAGAACAGCTTCTTCCCTGCTGTTATTAGAGTTCTGAATGGACCTCTCAAATTTCAAATCTAATGTTGATCTTGCTTTTTGTGAACTGTCTTTGTAGCTGTAACTTTGTATTCCTTGTCCTGTTCAATCACCCTATGACCTTTTATGTTATGATCTGCCTCTACTGCACGCAAGACAAAATTTTTCACTGTACTGAGGTACATGTGACAATAATAAATCAATTCAAATCAAATTAGTGCCCCATGAACTGAAGTCTACTGGAGACAACAACCAGTGTTTGAACCAAGCACACATTTCTTTAACCTGATGTGCCCAATGCTAATTTACACATAGTTCAGGTAAAAATCTAGAGATCATCATCCTTGATGTTCTGATTCTTATTGAATGCCTAGCTCCTTATACTGACGAGGCAGAATCTCTTTCATTGCCCTGCCTTTCTCGTTAGAACCTACATATGCCACGATGACCAGATCTTCCCACTCCCACTGCAACTTCGTTTCCAGCCTTGAGCAGATTTCCACAACCTGACATGACTTCAGCAGCCTAGGACAGACATTTGTCCATGATTCCATTTCAATCCAAACACCAGGCAGACAGCACAACCTTCTGGATTCTCACTTTTTTTGCGACAGAGAACAGTGTCAATCGCCCTCATTACACAGTCCCCTACTATTCCATTCCTCTTTGCTCCCCCCATTGAATGGCTTCCTGCATCACAGATGCACGGTCAGTTAGCTCATCCACCATACAGCTCTGAATCTCATCCAAAAATACCTGAAAAATCCTCAATCTGGTTGGAAGGAAATATTGACCTTGGAGGGAGTACAATGCAGGTTTACAAGAATGATACCTGGACTTCAGGAATAAAGTTATGAGGAGAGATTTACAAATTAATACAAATATAAATTAGGCATGTTTTCCCTAGAATGTAAAAAGTTAATGGATGATCTGATCGAAGTCTTCAAGATATTAACGGGAAAAGACAGAATTGATAAAGGTAAACTATTTCCACTATTTGGGGACTCTAGAGCTAGGGACCACAGTCTAAAAATTAGGGCCAGATAGTTCAGGAGAGGTGTTAGGAAACACTTCTACTCACAAAGGACGGAAGAGATTTGGAACTCTCTCCCACTGGCAGCAGTTGATGCTAGATCATTTGTTAGTTTTAAATCTGAGATTAATTAATTTTTGTTAAGCAAATTTATTAGAGGATATGAGGCAAAGGTAGGTGTATGGAGCTAGGCCATAAATCAGCCATGATTTCATTGAATGGCAGAACAGGCTTAAGGGGCTAAATGGCTTACTCCTGTTCCTATGACAATTACTGCCCTCTGGGTGGCCATAACTGCCTCACTCACAATTACACACTCTTTTCCTTGAGCAGTGACCCAATTAGGGGACCATCTCCTAAGGGGTGTGACCTCCTCCTGGTACAAAATATCCAGGTATCTTTCCCAGTCCCTGAAATTTCAGTGTCTGCTGTTCACCCCCAGTTTATAAACGCTAAGCTAAAGCTGTCCAAGTTTCAGACATTTATTGCAGACGTGTCTGCTTCGCATGGTAGCGGAACCCAGGAGCTCAAACAATTCGTAATCACAACAATCACCTGCCCTGCCATCCTGATTGTGCTTTAATTAACTACATAATTATTTTATTCAATTATTTACTTAGCATTGGAATTAACCTTAACCACTTTGTTCGAAGTCCCAGTCGGTGACTAGACAATTAACAATAGTACAGACTTTACATTCTTCTAAATACTAGCACTTTAATACTTAACACACTTCACCAGTAGTAATAAATTTTACTTAAAAATATAAACTTAGTGTAGCACACATGAGCTGCTCAGTTCATAGAATCCCTACAGTGTGGAAGCAGGCCATTCAGCCCATCAAATCCACACCAACCCTCTGAAGAGCATCCCACCCAGACCCACCACCTTACCCAATCCCTGTAACCCTAAGGACAATTTAGCAATGGCCAATCCACCTAACCTACTCATCTTTGGACTGTAGGGGGAAACCCACGCAGACACAGGGAGCATGTGCAGACGCTACACAGGCATTTGCCAGAAGCTGGAACTGAACCCTGGTCCCTGGCGCTGTGAGGCAGCAGTGTTAACCACTGAGCCACCATGCTGCCCCATTTGTTAACTGGGGTTGTTAATTAGCTGTTAATTATTATAAATGCTTAATATTTGTATAGTTACTTTATTTGAAATTCCTTAGTTTAGATAACCTGCTCTTCTCCCACATCTCGATTTTCCTTTTTGGTCACATGCTCTGAATCACATAATTGTAACAGGACAGAAGGAGACCATTCAAGCCATCACGTTTATGTTGGCTTTCCAATGAGCATGGTGACTAATTGCCATTTTCCTGCCTTTTCCCTGACCATACCATTGCACACTGTTTCTATACTGTTGGAAATGTGGAAATGTTGCGGATCTATCATTCTCTTTTAAGCGTCTCTCTCCTGATGTGCTTTTTTGCTCTGTCTCTGATGGTGGTGCCCCCTCTCTTCTTAAACTCCTATCGCCGAGTAAACCCTGATACTGTACTAAAAACAGGGAGACAATCCCTCGGTTCAGAATGATAACTACAAAGAGCAGTTGATGTTGTGGTCTGGGATACAATCCAAGCCAATAATTATGTCACAGCCTTTAAATATGTTTATTTTGTACAAGCCATCATTTTCACCTGCATTGGCCATAGTGAAGGACAGAGCCCTCTGGATACTATGTGCAGTGAAAACATTAACACAGTTTGATTGCATTATGATGTTGCTAAGCGAGCAGCCATAGAAACTGTTCTCAGTATTTGACAGGCCATTGCATTATACAGCTTCTCAAAGCAAAGTATACGCCTTGTCTGTCAATATAGGATACTAATATATGCCTGAAAAATTCCTGAATGTCATTGAGTTAGACTAGTTTTAAGGCATCCTAAAACAAACAACCATCTGCAACAAAGATTAAACCACTTATCTCTGCAATGAAGCGTTTAACACCTATTCTCGCAAAGTCCTGAACTCCCATAACAGCCACTCCCCATTCCCCATTCAATCAAGAAAACTGGATGGTGATGAAGAGCAGAAAAGGTGATTTTCTTTGAGCAGTCCAATTTATTTCTAGAAGTGTCTCTGTCACTGTTTCCAAACAATTGTGTTCTAGATGACAATTATCCTCACAATGAGACATTAAACTGAAGCTCCATCTGCTTGTCCTTGGGGTTCAAGTGCACTTTTAAGAGTTCCATCAGGCACAGGTGTCCTGCATAATCTATTAATCTGCACCACCAAAAACAGATTAATCTGTCATTCATATTTTTTCCCCAAAGTTATACTTTTTCGTCATATTTATGGAAGTGCATTACATGACAATTCAAAGTCGACATTACAAAAAGTATGAAGCAAATCAGTTTCGATAACACTTCACATTCCTCATTGCATTTATAATTGCAGGCAATATTTACAATGTTCATTACACATGTAAAACATTCAGAAAAATATATTAATTCTCCTGCTTTACTTCTATAATGAACATAAGTCAAACATATAGCCCGAGGGTTTCTTTCACAGTGTGCAGCCTATGTATTATGGGTGAAGGGCCTTTGACAGTGGCTTTTCCCTATTGTATCTTTGTGGCAGCTGCCCTCAGCTTTAGTACATCCCTCAGCACATCGTCCTGGAACCTTGGAATGTCACAAATGCCTGCAGCATTCAGTCACGGAGAACCTTTTGCACTGGAAGATG